TGAACTTAATCCTGTGACTCAACTGTCAGCCAAATGATACACAGGCCTATAAGGTGAACAGTGATATCAAGAGGCTATGCATACATTAAAGCAATCAAGCATATGAAATCAAGAGGCCAGCATTTACCCAGGGATAGAGGTAGGAAGGCTGGAGGGGATGGGAAGGAAGGACAAAGGAAAGGAGTGGGTGCAGGGAGGAAGTGGGAAAAATGCTGTTACAGTGTGGGGATTGCAGTGAATGTCACAAAACAGAATGTGTATGGACTGTTGAAAGGAAAACCAATTTGCTCTGTAAACTTTCACCTAAATCACAATTAAACACAAAACAAAACAAAAACCTGAGTTAAAATTGTTCTCTAATGTTGTGTTGTGTGTTGTTGAATTGATTCCGACTCATAGTGACCCAATGTTACAGTGTATGTGACAGTGTAGAACTGCCCCATAGGGTTTCCTAGGCTATAAAGTTTATGGAAGCAGATCACCAGATCTTTTCTTCCATGGAGTGGCTGGGTGGGTTTGAACCACCAACCTTTTGGTTACTAACCAAGTATATAACTACTGTGCCACCAGGGTTCCTCTAGATATAGACAGATATATAAAATGTATCAAACTTATCAAATTGTACTACTAACCAAAAGATTGGCCATTCGAATCCACCTAGAGGTGCCTCAGAAAAAAGGTCTGGCAATCTGCTTCTTAAAGATCACAGCCTTGAAAATTTTATGGAATGTAATTCTATTCTGCAATACATGGGGTCACCATGAGTCAGAAGTGACTCAACAGGAACCGATTTGGTTTTGAGTTGTAATATGTTCATACAGTACAACTGTATGCCATTTCATATTTCAATAAAGCTGTTTTAAAAAATAATGTGAGAGGAAATGATGGAGTATCTCAAGTGATGGTCAATCATGCCAGAAATACATACAAGAAAGTTATTGAACCATAAAGCAAGTAGATATATTTTTCTGATCTCAGTTAGAATGGTTTACCTTGAAGAAAATAACACTATCCTTCACATCCTGAATTTCTCCATTCCTCTAAACCAATGTAGATGTGTTTGTGCAAAATTCCATGTTTATGTTATTGTTCAGTGTAGTTTACATTTTTTAAAAAAAGAGCATAGAGCAAAATAATCTTGGGCTCAATGAAAAATATTCCTGGAGAGTCATAGGAAACTACTAGGGTTTCATTTGTTTCTCCTGAGGAGCACAGTATTCTGGGTCCATAGGGACACCTGGTGCAGGCCTTGCCTAGACACACGGGCCTGTCAACACGAGCAATGCAGAGGGTCTTTCCTCTTCTCTTTGTGGGAAAGTGCTTAGACACTCCCCACCTTCCTGGTTTCCCACACAATAGTTTGCAGCCCTGAGAGTAGGGTGAGTCCCTCTACACAAGTGGACACAGGCTTTCCTGATTGCAGATGTATCCCTGTCATTTACACACACCCTCTTGAGGTACTGAAGTTTAGAATATTCTCCTATGGTGGAGACTAGCATGTGAAGGATTGGCCAGACATGATCTTGAGTCCCTCTGCTATTTGTTGCTTGACTTTGGAAAAGTTCTGGCCTCTTGATTTTCTTATCCTCTTGAATTTGAAGGGAACACTAAGGACCAAAAAAAAAAAATCCAGGGTTATCAAGAATCAGAATTGTTCTCCATGAGTGCCTCTGGAAGCAAAAAGCCCTCAAATGCAAATACCCACCCTGGACAAGCTATTAAAAAAATCTAGTTAGTGTATCACTCTGAAAAAAATGCCAGATGGATAATTAAAAAAAAAAAAAAAAGTGCAGCTACGTAAGTTAAAACAAAAGTAATAAACCACTTTAAAATCCTTAGGTTACTACAGAGGTCTGAGGAAGTTAGAGACATATGGAAAGGATTTGAGATGGCTGCTTCGTAAATAACATTTATTAAAACTAAACAACTTAAACGCACAGCGTTAAGAACGTACAGACTGAAGCGAGAGGGAAAAACTGAACATGCGTGCAGAAGACTACTGAACTTGCAGTAGCCAATCCCCGCAGAGGGTGAGCCCTTAATGGTGGGGAAAATCAGTCTCTACCCACTATGAGAAGGGGATACCAGTCCCTGGTGTCTGGGCTAATAGACCCCACTTTAACCTCACTTATACTACCACTCCCACTCCATCCCACTCCACCCCCACTCCTGCCCCACCTCCCCACTTTCATGACCTCTGATTGGCCAGATCGATTTTGCCAACTGCCTTTTTCTTGGTCAGCTACATTGTTGAAATTCATCCCCTCGAGGAGCAACTCTCCCCACAGCTTCGCCTCTGTTGTAGGTCTTCTCAAAGATACAAGGCTGATTTGGAGGAAACAGAAAAAATAGGAGCCTATGCAGCGCACTCAAAAGGTTGGGTTTTTGCTGTGCCTCCCCAAATACTCTACAACTGAGAGCCGACTAAGTTCTTTAAGGGTGAGAAACCCCCAAGATCCCCATCAGGCAGAGGTAAAACTGAAACTAAATACCTTCAGTTTGTTAGACTCCCTAATTGCTCTTCCTGGAGGAAGCAAAACTCCCCTTAGCTTGAGAGCTCCTCAAATTAGCCAGAGGCCCCTAGATAATCTTCAACTAGAGATAATGCCAAATAGCTTCTTCCTAAGAGACTACTTTAGGAGCTGTGGTAGCGTAGTGCCTGCGGCACTTGACTGCTAACTAGAAGGCTGGCGGTTCAAACCCACCAGCCACTCCTCGGAAGGAAGATGGGGCAATCTACTTCCGTAGTGATACTGCCTTAGAAACCCAAGGAGGGGTCACTATGAGTCAGGTCGACTCCACGGCCCATAACAACAAAGAGACTACTTTAGAATGAAGCAGAAATCTTCTTGGGACTCAGATGATCATAAATTTCCTCTTCCTAGGAAACCCCTGATGCTCTCAGTTTGGGAAGCACCAGATTGCTGCATCTTGAGGACCCCACACGTACACAATTCTCTCACCCTGAGTAATGGCTAGTCCTGTAATCTAGGTGATTCCAGCTCTCTTCACTCTAATTATTTCAAAATAATTCACTCATCCCCATTTCTCTTCAAAATAGTAGAACCCTACATCCCTCTGCCTGACAACCCAAACCCATCAGTCAGAAAGATCTTATGATCTCTGGGATTCACCTTCCCCCTTTACCTCAGAAGCCCCCTTCAGTAAAACTACCCACTCCTTTTGCTACTTCCCCAAAAAAGGACTTTATATCTTTCCTTTGGGATAAGACAAACTCCAGGGGAACAGTGGTTACACACACACACACGCGCGTACACACACAAGGCAAAGATTCAAGTTTACTTTGGTCATACCTACAGGAAACCTGTCCATCCCTAATAAACACTTCTCCCAGAGACCCCCCAGCTCTGGGAGAAAATTCTAAAACATGCAAAACAAGAACACTCATTGTATGGATAATAAAGAAATGCTAAATGGATATTTATAAATTTATCATTCATTTATTATCTTTCTTTCTGTATTTATCTGACTTCCCTTCATGTCCTTACTTAGGGACAGATGAACCCAAGATGGAGAAAAGTGCAACCTTAATTCTAGGTGACTGACTGAGCTTTCTATCTCCACAGAAGCTTTGGTTTTGCAGTTGGAGAGACTCAGCTGTATTCTTTCAGGACCAGAGAAGTTAACCAGCACCATGAACAGAGGCAACTTTGGAGCAAAGAGCTCCAAAGAGGATACCAGGAAACCAGAGAAGAAAAGCAAGGTGAAGTGATCTGGAGGAGACAGAGGAGTAGCTTAGGTGACAGGGTAGGAGGACTAAATTTCTGAGGTAAGGTCAGAGGTATTGGGCACAAGGATCAGGGCCTTGGGTAGGAGGAGAGATTCAGAGTCTCAAGAGCTTCCCACCCTCACTCTGTCCTCTCCTAAAGGAATGGATAGTCCTTTCCTGCTTCCCTGGAGACAACAAATCTATTATTTTGCACCAAATTTGGTGACTCTCAATCCATTCTGAGAGGTGAAGGGAGAGCAAGCCAGTGCATTAAGTCCCTAGCGGCTGTCAGAGTAAAAGCTATGAAATATTACCCATGTTCTCTCAGTTCACCATGGCAGCAACCAGAACTGAAGGGATTATTTTCTACAGTTCACAGATTCAGCAGAGGTCCTGCAGCAGAGGAAGAAGTCCTGGCTGGACATCAGACATGTTTAGCTGAGTTGCCACTGGAATTTATTTTTCTATCTTTTCTAGGCTTTCAAAGATATTTCCAGATACTTCTCTAAGGAAGAATGGGCAGAGCTGAGGTACTCTGAGAAAGTCACCTATGTATATATGAAGAGAAACTATGATGCCATGACTAATCTAGGTAATGGGAAATTCTGGGTACAGGCAAAGCTTGGAACTCATGAACATTCTCAATCCCTTTATGTGCTATGGCTTTTTCTTAGGCTCCAGCAGGTGCCCCCACACTTTCCTTTTGTGCAGGGGAAAATCCCAAGACAACTTCAAGACATTCTGCTCTTTTACATCCCGTACAGGGCTAAGGACAAGGATGGCCACAGTGGTGCTCAGACCCAGATCCTCCACTTTTCTCTCCCATTGCCCTTTGTTCTGCTCCACCTGACTGATGAATCTTCCTGTCTGCTGCCTCCCGTCATCCTACCCTTTATTACTCTCAGATTGTCTCTTAAGGAAGAAATATTTTTGCTTCTTCTTTCTAGGCCTTAGAGCTACCCTTCCACATTTTATGAGTCCTAATAGGTGGACCACCAAATCCCAGCTAGATGACTCTAATGAATATCACAACCTGTGGACTGAAGGTGAGTGGACAAAAAGCCCTTGGAGACAGTCTCCTGACACCTAACTGCTTTTAGGTCCAGCAGCTTGGGAAAGATTTTCAGGACTTTGTCACCCCAAAAATGTCATGCTAAGTTGGAAAGAAAAAAAAGAAGTTGGGTACAGAAGGTTATGAACAGTAAGAAGTCATTTATATAAAATTCTAAAACATGCAAAATGAGAAAACTTAATTTATGGAAAATAAATGATAAATGTGTAAAAACTTAAATGATAAATGTGTAAAAACTTAAATGATAATAAAACCCATCAAATTCAAGAGGGTGGCTAGAAGAGGGAGGGGCAGCAGGGATTGGTGAGGATTGAACAAGCAGCTTCAGCTGTGATTTGTTTGTAGTGTTTTTTACATTTTGAATAAAGAAACCAAAGAGATCTGTAGCCATTGTGGGATAATGTTGAGATCCGACTGGACTCAGTGGTAGATGCGCACATATTTCCAATATTATTCTCCATAATTTCCTGTATGTTTGAAGTACTTATTTTTATAGAATGCATAGTTCTTGCTAGACACTGTTGATAAATCAAAGGGCAATTAAGAAAAACTTAACTAAAGTATAAATCCACCAAAAACTTCCAAAGTCAATTTCATAACAGATCAGAGGTATTGGATAAGTATTTTAAAAGAGAAATTGACTAATGTGTCATATAATGACACCTATCTATTTCCCTGTACTTTATCAAAATGGAATAATTTCTCACCCTTGATCAAACCTGGTTCTATGTGTTTAAATTGGAAGAGAGTTTGGGAGAGTGATTTATACACATACGCAAACTGAGCTTTCCCATCTGTCAGTGAGTGGAGACAATACAGGATGAAAAAAGTAGCAGATTATAGGGAAGAAGTACTTAAATATTAGGTGTATAGTAACTATAAAGGGGATGTGATGTTCTTACTACCTCTTCTGCTCTGACAGCACAGTTGTAAGAGGACAGGCTCAAAATGCTCAAACTGTCTTCATTAGACCTATGACTATGATTCCCTAACTATACATGCCAGATTCTGCAGGGTTCCAAAATTACTATAAGAGGTCTGAAAGTCCAGTGTTTGAGTATCTGCAAATTTTTTACATTAAGGGACAATCTTTATCCTGAAAACATTTCAAAATCACTAGACTAAATCCTCCATGGATCATCACACATTTAATAGCTTTATTGAGATAGAAAAGAGCTCTGGTAATGCAGTGCCTAAGGCATTTCACTGCTAACCACAAGGTTGGCAGTTCAAACCACCAGCCACTCCACGGAGTGGAGATGGGGTG